ATTACGAGTCCGATCCATTGGTAAGCTCTTATTCTTACTTGACTTTTTCTTCATAGACTGCTGATGTGTTGACCTTGTCTGTAGCCTCCGACCAGTCCTAGCGTAGCGGATATTGGTACCAAGGCCGAGTCCGTTTGTCAGGTGGGCCGGCTCAAAGTCTTCATGATACTACTACTACTTCTTCATCTTTTGGAATCAGAACTGACGGAATCCATCTCCATAGCCTCCTCATGCCGACACCAATCAATCACCTACCCATGTCGAAAACGCGGATGAAAGCTTTGATTTAGATACCCTACTCCCCCCTCTCACAAGCCCTGCAAAGCTACAGCAAGCAGATTCAGATAATCTACCTCCTCTCAGTAACCCGGCGAAGCCTTATCCAGCGATAGACGCCACTACCATGATCAATTTTGCAAACGCCCAGGTCAATGTAGCCCCTGACGGCGGATCATCACTCCCTCCAGTAAGTCTCTCCTTCACACACATGTCAGAACACTGCAGACTCACTTCTCACATTGTTTGTTTAGAAAAATCAAAAGGACATCAGATCGAATACCACAGAACCTAGAACAGTCACTGCATGTGTTCGCAGGTCGACTCGTCACAATCCAACTCAGCTGGACACCACCTGTCACACCGGTACGCGTCGGTCTACACGATCCCAAACCAAAAAAGTGTGTACGTGTGTCCCCACCACAACTTGTCTGCCAGTCATACTGTCTCCTAACTGTGAATTACATCAGGATACTCGGGTCCCACACTGGCTACACAAGTATGTCCAATCGGTAGCTGACACTCGTCCCGATGGCCATTGTGGCTACCGGGCAATTGCGATTGCGTTAGGCCGCCCCGAGGACCAATGGCTAACAGTTCGCGGAGAACTCATTGCCGAGCTATGGTCCAAATCGGATTTCTACAATATACACTTCCAAGCACGCAAGAGAGGCGACGGGGGTGTAGATGATCACATCACTGCTATTCAAACTAATCGAGAAGAGGTTCTTGATACACCTTCTCTCTGGCTCGACTCGGCTCAAATGTTGTATATCATTGCAACAGCTTACAAAAGAATTTTCTGTGTCTACAGTGACCAAGTATCCTTTTCTGCTTTACCTCTTGATTGTCAAGCCAACGATAATCCCCCTATCTTTCTATGTTATGATCGTCTTGGCC